AGAGTGAGACTCCAACTCAAAAAATAAAATAAAATAAATTCCTGGACACATACAATCTATGAAGATAAATTAGGAAGAAAGAGAAAACCTGAACAGAACCAATAACAAGTAATGAAATTTAATCAGTAGTAAAGTCTACCAACAAAGAAAAATTCAGGAGTGGACGACTTCACTACAAAATTATACCCAACTTTCAAAGAACTAACACCTATTACCTTCTAAATATTCCCCCCAAATGGAAAATAATTATCCCTAACTTATCCCATGAGACAGCATTACTCCGACACCAAAATGAAACTAGACAAGGATGCAAAAACAGAAAACTATAGGCCCATATTCTCGATGAATACAGGCACAAAAATTCTCAACAAAATAGTAGCAAACCAAATCTAAAATAATCCTGAGAAAAAAGAACAAAGCTGGAGGCATCATAGTAACTGACTTCAAAATATACTATAAGGCTGTAGTAGCAAAAACAGTATGGTATTGGTGTAACAATAGATACACAGACCAATGGAACACAATAGAAAACAAATAAATTCATATATTTTCGGTCAACTGATTTTCTGCAAAGACATCAGAAACACACAATGGAGATAGGACAACTTCTTAAATAAATGATGCTGGGAAAATTGGATATTCACATGCAGAAGAATGAAACTGGTCCCCGATATCTCTCACCATAGCCTCGGCAACTTGAGGAAACCTCATCTCTACAATAAATCAAAAAATTAGCCGGGTGGTAGTGCATGCCTATAGTTCTAGCTACTTGGAAGGCTGAGGCGGAAGGATCGCCGGAGCCCAGCAGGTCCAGTCTGGGTGACAGAGTAAGATTCCAACTCAAAACAAAAAAAATCAACTTAAGATGGATTAAAAACTTAAATGTAAGACCCAAAACTACTGAAGAAAACATAGGGAAAACACTTCAGGATATTGGTCTAGGCAAAGATTTTTATGGCTAAGACCCAAAAAGCACAGGCAACAAAAATAAAAATAGACAAGTGAGACTATATTAAAATAAAAAGGTGGCTGGGCTCAGTGGCTCAGCCTGTAATCCCATGCTCTGGGAGGCCGAGGTCAGTGAATTGCCTGAGCCCATGGGTTCGAGACCCGCCTGGGCAACTTGGCGAGACCTCAACTCTACAATAAATCAAAAAATTAGCCGGGCGTGGTAGCACGCCTGTAGTTTCAGGTACTTGGAAGGCTGAGGCAGAAGGATCGCCGGAGCCCAGCAGGTTGAGGCTGTGGTGGCTGGAGCGGTCACTGTACTCCAGTCTGGGCAGCAGAGTGAGATTCCAACTCAAAAAATAAAAATAAAAAATAAAAAGCTTTTGCAATCAACAGAGCAAAGAGATAAACTGTGAGTGGGAGAAAATATTTTGCATCAGAATTCATCCAACCATGGACTAATATAAAAAAATACATGAGGAACTCAAATAACGTAACAGTAAAAAACAAAAACAATCCCATTAAAAGTAGGCAAAGCTGGGCTCAGTGGCTCAGCCTGTAATCCCGCGCCTTTCGGAGGCTGAGGTGAGTGGATTGCCTGAGCCCGTGGGTTCGAGACCCGCCTGGGCAGCGAGACCTCATCTCTACAATAAATCAAAAATCAGCCGGGCGTGGTAGCACGCGCCCGTAATTCTGGCTACTCGGAAGGCTGAGGTGGAAGGATCACCAGAGCCTAGTGGGTCGAGGCTGCGGTGGCTGGGAGTGGCCACTGCACTCCAGTCTGGGCGACGGAGTGAAACTCCAACTCAAAAAAAAAAAAAAGTGGGCAAAGGAAACAGACATTTTCCTTTCAAAAGAAGACATCCAGAGGCAACAGGTATATGAAAAAACACTCAACAACACTAAGCATCAAGAAAATGCAAATCAAAATCACAATGAGATCAGATATCATCTTACCCAGTTAGAAAGGCTATTTTGTTGTTGTTGTTTTGTTTTTTTGTTTGTTTGTTTATGAGTCAGAGTCTCACTCTGTCACCCAGACTGGAATGCAGTGGCCGCTCCTGGCCACCGCAGCCTTGACCTACTGGGCTCCTGCAATCCTTCCGCCTCAGCCTTCCAAGTAGCCGGAATTACAGGCTTGTGCTACCACGCCTGGCTGATTTTTTTTGATTTATTGTAGAGATGAGGTCTCGCTGCCCAGGTGGGTCTCGAACCCGCGGGCTCAGGCAATCCACTCACCTCAGCCACCCAAAGGCGCGGGATTACAGGCTGAGCCACCGAGCCTGGCTAGAAAGACTATTTTTAAAAAGACAAAAAATATGGGCAACTTAGCGAGATCTCTTCTCTACAATAAATCAAAAATTAGCCAGGCGTGGTAGAGTGCACCTGTAGTTCTGGCTACTTGGAAGGTTGAGGCGGAAGGATCGCCGGAGTCCAGCAGGGGTTGAGACTGCAGTGGCTGGGAGTGTGCCACTCACTGCACTCCAGTCTGGGCTACAGAGTGAGACTCTAACTAAAAAAAAAAAAAAAAAAAAGACAAAAAATAGAGCAGGCATGATGGCTCATGCCTGTAATCCCAGCACTTTGAGAGGCTGTGGTGGCAGGATTACGTGAACCCAGGAGTTTGAGATCAGTCTGGGAAATACAGCAAGATCTAATTTCTACAAAAAAATAAACAATTAGCTGGGTGTGGTGTTGTGCACCTGTAGTGCCAGCTACTTGGGAGACTGAGGCAGAAGGATTGCCTGAGCCCAGGAGGTAGAGGCCGTGGTGATTGTGATGGCGTTACTGTACTCCAGCCTGGGTGAAAGTGAAACCCTGACTCAAAAAAATAAATAAATAAAAAATAAAAAGACAAAAAATATAGCAGATGCTGGCAAGGACGTGGAGAACAGACAACTCTTATATACTGTTAGTGGGGATTCAAATTAGTGTAGCCATTATGGAAAACAGCACTGACATTTCTCATAAAACTAAAAATAGAACTATCCCACTAGTGGGTAATTATCAAAAGGAAAGTAAATCAATTATATTACTATTCATAGCAGTATTCACCATAGCAAAGACATAGAACCAATCTAAGTGTTCCTCAATGGATGATAGAGAAAATGTGGTATATATAAACAATGAAATACCATTCAGCCATAAAAAAGAATGAAGTTATGGCATTTGCAGCAATATGGATGGAACTAGAGGTCATTATGCTAAGTGAAATAAGTCAGGCACAAAAAGACAAACACTGCATGTTCTCACTTCTATGTGTGATCTAAAAGTGGACCTCACGGGGTAGAGAGTAGAATGGTACTAGAGGCTGAGGGTGGGGTGGGATAAAAAAAGCCAGGTTGATAGGTAAAAACATACAGTTAGCTAGAAGGAATAAGTCCTAATGTTCAACAGCAGAGTAGAAGGACTGTAGTTAATAATCATGTATTGGATATTTCAAAACAGCTAAAAGAGAGGACTTGCCATGATACCAACACATAGGAATGACAACTACCTGAGGCGATGGACATTACAGACACTCTGAGTTGATGGTTACGCAGTCTATGCATGTAACAAAATATCATGTATGCACCCTGTAAATATATACAAATATCTGTATCGATTTTTTAAAACGGGGCTTCTTTAGACTTTCATAATCTCAACAGAAGTTATACAATTGGTAAACTTTTAAAAATTAGGAAACAGCGATAACAAAACTATAACAGCTTGAGGGTAGAACTTTTTAAAACCCACTAAACCTTTATTCAAAAACTTATAGAAATTATAGAAACCCATGGCTTGACAATTAAAACAGAACTAGTTCTTAACACCATGAACTGAATAATGATTTTAAAGTTTTACTTCCACTGTCTCCACCTACTGTGCCTTTGAGGAAGACATGTAAAACAGAGCTAGACATTTACCTGTTCTCCCATGTGAGTAAAGCAGAGTAAATTCCCATCTACACAGCCAATACAAATATACTCTAAGCAACATCGTGGAGAAGAGAAGAGTGGTTTTCCACAGGAATGTTTCCAAATTCTGTTCCCAGTAGCCTGTCAGAGCCAAAAAGCAATTCACAGCATTTTAAATCACTCTACTAATCAATTGCCTGCATGAAAAAAACTCATAAATCTCCCAGGGGCAGAGTAAAAACATCAGAAAATACTATAGTGGCATGCGAGATTATAAATGAGTTGGGCACAAAAAGACAAATATTGCATGTTCTCACTTATATGTGTGAGCTAAAAGTGGATCTGAGAGGGTTGAAAGCATTTATATACACAGCCACAGAATGAATCAGTGCTATTTATGAGAACTAGGATAAAAACTTGCAATAAAACCAGCAAAGAAATAACTAGCACCAAAGATCTATCCCTAAAACGGACACAGAGTTCTTACTATGACTAAGAAAATTCTGCTAGTGTAAACAATAGAAGACATACACAGGAACTTAGATTTTTCTCATCTTCCTAGAATTCATGTCCATCATTTTGTTGTTGTTGTTGTTGTTTTTTGAGCCAGAGTCTCACTCCATTGCACAGGCTGGAGTGCAGTGTCATGCTCACGACCACCGCAGCCTAAACCTGCTGGGCTTAGGCAATCCTTCCACCTCAGCCTTCCACGTAGCTGGAACTACAGACACATGCTCCCATACCTGGCTAATTTTTTTGATTTATGGTAGAGACAAGGTTTCACCAAGTTGCCCAAGCTGGTCTCAAACCTATGGGCTCAGGCAATCCTCTCACTGCAGCCTCCCAAAGCATTGGGATTATAGGAGTGAGCCACCGCACCCGGCCTCATGGCCATCATTTTTAGTGAATTCTTACTCAGTAATATGTAGAGTATAACTAAATGAAAAGACTCAAACTTGCAAAATTAAAAGCAAAAGTTTTTAAAAATTAAAGAAATATAGGTAATAAAATCAATACATATTATTTTATGCCTACAGGATTTACAGCCAGTAAAAGTCCTCCTAATGTAGAAAAATACAAATGATGTGGAGTCATGTTCAGACAAGGAGATGAAAAGACTGCACCTCCACACTTCAACTTCCAAACACACTTCTTTTCCTGGAAATAAGAAATAAATTCATTAACAAATCCGCATATTATACCTCCACGATATTGTGTCTGTTTAGTCAACATAAGTTTTTATCTTTAGTATAAATATATGCCTACTGTGGAGAATCAGATTAGTATAAGGAAGACAAAGGCCCCCCCCCAGAGAAAACCAATGTTAACATTTTAGCATCTACTCTTTTGATCTGCTGGGGGGTGTGTGTGTGTGTGTATGAATACATATATACACACTCAGACACATGGTTTAATATAGCTGATATCATTCTGAATATATATCATGGTATGTTTTGTTCACTTATTTTATAAAGCTATTTAAATATAATTTTAACATATCCCACATGAACATAATTTATCTATCTCATCATTGAGAAATAATTTCTTAGAGTTATAAACAACCTAGAAATAAATATTTTGGTGCATACATCTGACTGTGATTCTGATTACTTTGCCAGGACAGACCCCTAGAAAAAGAATTTTACTGGATCAAAGGATGTGAAATTGTTACCTATGGCCAAATCATTTTCCATAAAGGCCTTACCAGTTACCGCCTCTCACCACTCTCATCAGCAGTGAATGTTATCATTCCACTATCTGTTCTAATAAAATACATTTGTTACTCTGTCTCGTAGTCTCAATTTTCATTCCTTTGATTATTAAAGTTATAAAATATTTGTGTACATTTACTAGCCATTTCTTCTTTGGGGTCCTATGTGTTTATGTTCCCTGTTTATTTTTCTGTCTAGGTCTTTATATTTTCCTTATTAATGTGTATTTGCTCCTTATTTTCACGGACACTTATATTTCACATATATGCTCACTTATAATTCTTTTTCACATTCATTTCCATTTTTTCCAGTTGTTTCTATTAATTGTATAATTTTTATAATTTTTAAAAATTGTTATGTAATCAGCTCTTAACACATCTTGTTGATAACTTTGTAATTTTTTTTTCTACTGTCAAGATGATAATTCCAGTTTTTTACATTACTTTTTTTTTTTTGAGATGGAGTCTCATTCTGTCGCCCAGGCTGGAGTGCAGTGGCACACTCACGGCCACCACAGCCTCAACCTGCGGGGTTTAGGCAATCCTTCCTCTCAGCCTTCCAATAGCTGAAACTACAGCATGCATCACCATGCCCGGCTAGTTTTTTTTTGATTTTTTGAAGAGATGAGGTCTCGCCAAGTTGTGTATGTAGAAACAGATCATTTTACATCTTCATGGTCTGTTCACTCTAAAGGGTTTTGAACCAGGCGTTCTTGTACACATCATTAAAAAGTCGTAAAGTCAAAAAAAAAAAGGGAGAAGAACTCCAAAATGAACACCAGCCAGAAGAAAGGTAAACAAGCTCCAGCCACCCAAGAGAGGCCTGGTAAGAATACACCTGCTAAGGGAATGGTATCAGCTGCTATGAATGAGGTCAATCTAAGCACCTAAAGCACAATTGTTCTTAATGGCCTCTCCCGAAGGAGGGAGGGAACACACCTAGTTCGGCAATAGTGGCTGTTAACTGAAGGGAGAGGGGCATGGCCCAGCGCAGCACTCTGTATACCATCCACCCAGAAAATCCTTGGGTCTATATAAATGTAACTGGGGTCCAAATTAATTTCTTAATTAATACTGAGGCTAAGTTTTTAGCCCTTGTGCTCATACTGAACTTCTTCCTCCTAAAACCTGCTCTCCAGTGGAATTAAAGGTGTTTCAAAATCTAAATGTTTCACCTAACAGTTACTAAAAGGTAAATACAAATTATACCTCTAAAAGTTTATCATTTAAGTTATGCTAATAACTTCAGGCCTGGTAGCTTTTGTATGAAAAGGTAATCAGCCACTGCCTACAATTGTCAAAATGTAGGCCTGACTTTATTCTTTTTATTAAGCTAAAATCCAGTAATTTCATGCACACATAATGGTCATGCAAAAATTCCAGCCAGTGCCTGCAAATAATGCCACTGCTAAACGCCTCCAGTCAGACAGAGGGAGATTTTCGATCTCTGGCTAGGCAGGACTGCACCCATTATCAGCTCTGAAGAAATTACAGAAGATGGACCTTCACCCCTCAGCACCCCAAATAATTATGGGATCGAAAAATCTCTAAAGAATAAAGAATTGAGGGAGGGTAGCTACCACAGGTTAAACATAAATAAATTTCCTATAGATAGGTTCTAAAAGGCATTCAAACGTTTCTACTGCAGGCCAAGTGGCAACCTGTCCCACCCCTTGGCAAATCCAGGGAAAACTCCATCAGATGTAAAACTAGGACAATATAATTTCAATTTGCGGGTTAGCATAATAATCACTAGAAATCCTTTGAAAACATAAGTTAACTAAACATAGGTATTTGGTATTTCATCACTCAGGATCCAAATCCCTGAAACGGAATTTGTTAAACCTTTAAAATTGTTTAATGGCAGGCCTCTGAAGGAAAGGGGGGGCCACAAACATAAATGCTCATAAGAAAATGTGTTGTCTATTTGAGATAAATTTTAATCACAGTTTATGAGCTTATTTCCCTAGACACTTCTTGAACCAGAAGAAATTCAAACATCCAAGGGAAGTAAGTGTTGTTAAAAATTGAAAAAAGGAAGGACCCAATCAACAACCGTAAGAAAAAAAAAAAAGACGACCCTAAATGTGGTCCTGTTCCTATACTAGTCTAAAAAAATATTTAAATGCCTAACTTCACTATGAAGTCTCAAAGGGGGGTAAACAAAAACCCCTGCTAGAGAAAAAGGCCCCAAAACGGGCCTTTAAATAAAGTAAACAGGCATCTTGACTTTTGTAATTCCTTATAGGTGGCCACCCCCTCTTGTTAGGGGCAAACAGGCAAACTTAAAAGAATTTGAAAGTCTTGCCCTAAAGCAACAAATGCAAGCCTTAAGTTCAGTCCTAAATGCCATCCATTGTCAAGACGAAATCCAATTAGTGCCCCCACTGCCTTTGTTACAAAAGAGCGAAGTTTTTGTTTTTTCTTTTCAAAATCATTAAACTGTCATTTTGGTTAAATAAGTAACTTTTACAACAACTACTGTAATTGTGTGTTGTAACATGCTTTTAAAAAAAAAAACTTTAATACTTAAATTCTTCAAGTTCTTGATTCAGTCTCTAGGATAAAATACGCAGCAAGCTCCAGGGACCACACCTACCCCACCCCCTTCTAAATTGCCTGAAGGCCAGGTAAATTAATTTCACTAACAGCACGAACTTTAAAATCTCCTTCCAGGCACAAGGATTACTATCCAATATAAAACGAATGGAAAATAACCTGGGCTTCACACTCTATCAATTGTTGTAAAAGTATGTCAGATCTATTATAAAAACAAAGAAAACTGTTTTCTCTTGCTAATGTTTACCTGTTTTAAATTCTCAATTTAAGCTATAACCTGACTACATGTCTCTAATGTTTTCAATATAATAATATAATAATTCTGCTTTTAATAATTACCGGGCTTCTTGCTTAATATCTACCTTTAAGTCTCTGAGTACCGAAAGCCCTTATCCGGACGGTTGGTTGCTGGAGATGTTAATGCCTGGAGAAACCAACCCTAGTCATGCGACTGGGGCTTCACCACCTGTCAGCGTACCGGCACTCCAGTGATACGGAAAAGGACTGGTCACTCATCCAGCAAGATACTGGCCTCCTGCAATGGAGAGACTGTGCTTATAACTCTAAGGTGGACTATCCTGTGCCCGGTAAAAGACTATATATTAGTGACTGTGGTTTTTAATGGCTCTACACTTGCCACAGCTAGGTGTCATTCCAATGGATGGGTGCCTCCAGTACTGTCCATCAAGTACGGCGTCTGGCAGATTATTCAGCCTCATCTATGGAAAGCTCTCGCAGCCCTTCAGCCAGTCAGCCTGTCTAAATCTGTTGGACAAACTCAGTTATACCATATTAGAGCATACTTGCAATCCCCTTATATATTTCTTGTTTAGAATGAATATCAAACTGTTAAAATTATTTATCGTGCTAATGTTTATAAGATATCTTGTACTGAATGCATTTTACTAATTAACCAATGCCTTTTATAAGAAATTTGTCATTCTCAAGCAACTCCCCTATTTAATGGTCCCCATATCTTTGTCATACCATTAATATGCTGAAATGGTTTACAGACATTATATAAGGTTAATGCTGTGTTAGAAAGACAGAAAATTTTTTTTTAGCTACTTTAATTTTGGAATTACAGCATTAATGGCTGTTGCTACTTAAGTAACAGTTTCAGCTGTACCTCTATCTAAGAAAGTTCATACAGCTACCTTTGCTGATCAGTTATCTAAAAATGTTTCTATTGCATTGACTACTCAGGAAATTATAAATCAAAAATTAAAAAGTAAAGTTAATGCGATAGAAGAGACAGTTTTAACAGTAAGACAAGAGCTTGTGACTTTAAAGATAAAATTGGCTCTCTGATGTCACTCTGAGTTTAAGTGGATTTGCCTCACTCCTTTGGAGGTGAATAAGTCTGTCCATACTTGGGACAAGATAAAGAATCATATCCTTAGAATTTGAAATCATTCGGACTTAAGTATAAACCTCACTAAATTACATCAAGACATACAGGACATAAGTTGCTAAAAAGCAGTTCCGGTCCTATAAATTGACTAGCTCCATATTTAATAACTTCTCATTGTTTATCAAAAGCCATTAATGTCTATACTTATTAATGTAAGAATTTGCAGGACAGTAATTCTTGTCTTGCTGTGCCTACTTCGAGTTATTTCCAGAGTACTGAAAAGGAACATTTCTCAGCTTAACACCGAGTTTCATGGTTTTGTGCTAAAATAATTTAAAAAAAAAAAAGAGATGTTGGGAGCCAGCCATGGAGGCCCACTGAGCGTTAGGGATCAGGGAGGGCCGTAGACCCTGAGACCGCTAGGATGTGTTTGGGAGCCACTGACTCCATTTTCCTCCTCCTTTTACCACGAAGCACAAGTAACCTAAAAAAACTCTGCTGATCTAAGCTGAAAGCTCTGTAACTGTAACAGGCATGGCTCACTCTGAAAACCCATTGTTCCTGTTTCCCATAAAACTGTGGTTTCAGCTTACAAATTAAATATAATTCAAATTCAGGTCACATTTGAGAGCCTTTTATATGGTACAAGCTTCTTTATACAATTTAACAGTATATTTGTAACATTAGTATATACTTATAGGGAGCTGTTTCACGCTTTTCAATAATAAAGTTGTCAAAAATGGCTCAGCACAAAGTTTGGGCCACATTCCTGAGAGCCCAGCATGTACTTTAGACTGGGCTGCATTCTTTTAGGCCAGCTTTAACTACAATTAGTGTAAGGTTTCTCTACCTATTATAAAAATTATTTTATTCATAAAAAATTATTATAGAATAGGTCATGCTAACGTCAGAGAATCATGTTAGTTCAAGCATGACCAATCATAATATTTTAAGGTTTAACAAGATACAGTCAATTTTACAAATTTCATTGTCTCTATTTTCTACTGTTGTAATTTTAAAAAACAAGCAACAACTCAATTGGTTTAATTTAACCACACCCCCTGGTTTACTACATTAATTTCCACCGTAGTTGGTCCTTTAGTTGTTTTAATTCTCCTACTTATTTTCGGGCCTTGCATCATCAACAAGCTTATAGCCTTTGTTAAAAATCAAGTCAGCACCATTCAACTCATGGTACTCAAGCACCAGTACCAACCGCTTGGTACTCACCCTTGTTGTCTCAACTCTCCTACGCATTTTCAGAATGGCCTTAAAAATACCTATGTAGACCTATGATTGGGTCTTATCTTTAGGTTCCTCTGAGAGGGGGGAATGAGAGACCCAAGAGATTCAAAAAACTCTAAGGGAACTATTACTATATGAATTCCTACCCCACGTTCACTGTATTTGTTTGCAGTGTTTGTACTCAGAACTTTAAGTTTAATTTCTGTTTGTCTCATAAAATAACCGATTGCTTCCACAACTGCTGCTAGCAGTGTGTGAATGTTAAGCAATAAGCCCCTCCCAGACATTCCTTTGCTTAGATAACAGTAGACTGGTGGCACCAGCCACCACCCCCCGAGGTTCTGCGTTGTTTCAAACCTGCCTGCCTGCTTGCTAAACCTAGCGTATCTGACATTCCACCCTGCCCGTTTAGCAGCTCCCCGTCAATCACAGGTAGCTGAGCTAGAGCCTGCACAGACCAGACCAATCCCAAGTGCCCCCGTACCCGTTAGGAGAAATTACCCAGTCATGTAAAAACAAGTTTAAAGTTCTTTCCCCTCCCTCTGTAATTGTGCATAAAAACTGCTTGCCATACTGGAACGGGGCTCTCTCGTCCCTGAAGTTGCTGCATCGGCTTCATACGTGAGCCCAGACTCAAGCCTGAATAAAGACTCTCGTGTGTTTGCAGCAGAGCTGACTCTTTGTGGTCTCTTGGAGTTAAAATCTTGGGTTTAACAGTGTAGGCTCGTCTCGAACCCATGGGCTCAGGCTATCCTCTCACCTCGGCCTCCCAAAGCGCTGGGTGCATGAGTCACTGCGCCCAGTGATTTTTATATTTCAAAACTGTGTAGCAAACTTCTTTGTGGTAAATTTGGTAAGAAGTTTAAAAGTCTTAAAATATTAAGACCAAATTATGCTAAGCTTGGGAAATAGTTCACACCAGCTCTGAGATTCAACAGCACCTGACAGTTACTCGCTCTTCTAGGCTTATGGTGTTGGACTGATGAAGTGAATCCTTACATAAATATCAAAAGCATAAGCATGCTGGTCATGAGATCCAATGTACAGGAGTCCTGTGGTTGGATCCATGGTTGGCGAGCTCTTGACAGCATCCTCGGTAGCAAACATCCAGTAATTTTCCCCACTATTACTTTTCAGAACATAAACAATCCCATTATAACAGCCTGCAGGGAAACAAAATATAAAAGATGAAATTGAGACATGTCACTGGAAAATAATTCTTTGGCCTAAATCATGACAATTTACATTTAGTGCTCTTTGTGTGTACATAGGCTCTACGTTCAGCTCATCTGATTTAAATTTCAGCAATGTAAAGCAGCATCTGAAGAGTAATCACTTGTGTAAAATATCGATTTAGTAAGTACACTTTATTTTTTTGAATGTACTTCACTAATTTTTTTAGTTGGCGTCTCATTCTGTCGCCTAGTCGATCCTTCTGCCTCAGCCTTCTAAGTAGCTGGAGTTCAGACATACACCACCATGCCTGGCTAAGTTTTTGATTTATTGTAGAGATGAGGTCTCACCAAGTTGCCTAGGTTGTCTCAAACCTCTGGGCTCAGGCAAACCTCTTGCCTCAGCCTCCCTAAGTGCTGGGATTACAGGGGTGAGCCAGTATGCCCGACCTTCAATAATTTTTTTTAAAGTACTTATTTTTTAAAAGTACTTCACTACTGAGAAGTATGCTGTGGTGGAGAGAGACTTTGCCACATCTGGATTTAAATTTCATCTTAGCCATCATTGGGCAAATTACCCCGTGTCACTGAGCCTCAAATTATTCTCCTGCAAGATGTGGATTCATCTATTTCAAAGGTTATTCTGACAATTCAGATAATGTGGATAAATGCCCAGAGAACAGAAGGTATCCAGGAAATGCTAATGTTAATAGTCAATATTCATTGCATTTAATATGCGTCAGGTGCTATTCAAAATATTTTACATCTATTAATTGATTTAGTCCTCATGGTGAAGTAAGTACCATTATAACCATATTTTGTAGATGACAAAATTGAAGAACAGATAGATTAAATTACTAGGGCAAAATGACATAGCTGATATGTGGCAGAACCAAGATTTGAACTTAAGAAGCCAAGCTCTAGAACCTATTCTCTTAACAACTAACCTGCTTTTCCCAAATTGCTGCTACAGAGGAGAAAATGGGACAGGATTCCCTGACCTTGGTGTGGTCAAATAACCCCACCGGAAGCAACGGTAGTCACTATCTACTTAGTGGAGGTCACTCAAATTCCCTGGGGTGCCTGTAAATCAGGGAAAGTGGAAACTGGGGACAGTTATTTGGGCAATTTCACCGGTGTCCACTCTTTAAATGGTTCTGCCTGTGGTCACAGTGTCTGCTGATCACCTGAGCCCAGTTCTCAACATACCTTGTGTGCTGCCTTTTTTTCTAGCAGTTACTACTTAGTAGCAAGACAGCAGTGGCCTGCTCAGAGATGGCAAGGAAAAATGTCCTACATAGAGCATCCCAGATCTTTCTTGCAGTCCAGTTCAATACCCAAAGAAAATACAGACTATAAGAAAATCTTTGTGGCCTTGGGTGAAGCAAAGATTTCTTAGATACAAAACCAAAAACATAATCCATTAAAAAAAAAAAAAGATCAATTAACCCTCCTCAAAATTAAGAACTCTGCTTCAAAACATACTATGTTAAGAGAATGAAAAAAACAAGCCACAGACTAGGAGAAAACATACGCAAAACATATCTGATAAAGCATTTATACTCAGAATACATAAAAGAATTCTCAAAATCAAAAACCAAAGCCAGGCACAGTGGCTTATACCTATAATCCCAACACTTTGGGAGGCCAAGGTGAGAGGATTGCCTGAGCCCATGGGTTCAAGATCAGCCTGGGCAACTTGGTGAGACCTCATCTTTGCAGTAAATCAAAAAATTAGCCAGGTGTGGTGGCACATGCCTATAGTTCCAACTACTTGGAAGGCTGAGGAGAAGGATCGCCTGAGCCCAGCAGGTCAAGGCTGCGGTGGCCGTGAGCGTGCCACATGCACTCCAGCCTGGGCGACAGCGTGAGACTCCAACTCAAATAATAATAATAATAATGGGCAAAAGATCTGAACAGACACTTCAGAAAAGATATACAGACACCAAAGAAGTTTAAGAAAAGGTGCTCCACATCACTAGTCACTAAGGAACTGCAAATTAAAACCACGATGAAATACTATCCCATGATTACTTGAATGGCGAAAGTAAAAAAAAGTTAAAACCGACAATATCAAGTGTCAGCAAGAATATGGGGCAACCAAACCTTTCACATAGTAATGGTGGAAATGCAAAATGGTTTAGTTGCTTTGGAAAACAATTTGGCAGTTTCTTAAAATTTAAACCTACACTTAACCATACAACCCAGCAATCTCTCTCCCCGCCAGGTATTGACCCAGGTAAAATTAAAAGTCAATTCTTCAACCAAGTCGCTCCTAAATTCCTGACCCATAGAGACAATGAGATGATAAATACTTGTTGCTCTAGGTCATTAAGTTTTAGAGCAATTTGTAACGCAGCAACATGTTTTATTACTACTCACATTTTACCCAAAGAAAACTGAAATTCTAAGAGGTTCAGCGACTTGCCAAAGGTCACACTGCTCCTAACAGCTATAGAGCTAGGTTCAAATCCAGGGACTCTTGACCCCAAAACCCACACTTAATCAACACACACTTAACTATTATTTTTTGACAGCAATCAAACCCAATATACATTGAATTCTTTTTTAAAATTTAACTTGGTCCTAGAGCATTACTATGTGGTAATACAATTCTACAAACCTCAAATTAAAAAACTTACCCACTACAATAAAGTTTCCACACTTAGACACACATGCTGAGGATTCAATTCGATCTCCCAAAGTCTGTTCCCATTTCACCTTCCCAGAATAAAGGTCAATTGCCTTCATTCTGTGAGAATGGGAACCAACGTACACAGTTGGAGATAAAGATGACTTATCAGAAGCTGGTATGACAACCAGTGGTGAAGCGTCTACACATTTGCAAGTGTCCGATTTCCACCTCACATGTAACTCCATCTTCTCAGCAGCCATCACAGATTTCCCCTCTTCAGAAACTTCTGCAACACAGGATGAGTCTTTTGACTTCCCAATACAAGCTGGAGGATTTAAGTTTTTCAAATGTTCAATGTTGGACTGTGAAATTAAATCAGAAGAGCAATGTCCTAATCCAGTTAAAAACCTAGCAGTATTCAGAGACAAAATCTGACTCCCTCTGCTCAGTGCAACGAAAGCATTCATCTCATCATTGCAATTTAAAGTCATGTCAGATTGCTGGTGTAAAGATTTTCCATTGGATTCCTCTTGATTCATGTCACTGAGTTTCCTTTTAATGGCATAACTCTTCCTGAATGTCAGATCTTCATCTGAAAACACTCTTTGACAGATATGATTGTAAATCTCTAAAATGGAACTGCTGAGAACAATTTCCAGAAGCCCAGGTATTGAAGTACCAACAAGTTTTTCAATCTCACTGAGGAGCCGTATGGCCTTTAAGGAATCTCCACCACTATTTAAGAAAAGTGAATCATCAGGAACCTTCAAAAGATCTTCTGAGAGACTCAGAGTAGACTACAGATGAGAGAAGAGAAAAATATGGTGACATAAAGGCCTAAAACCAAACAACCTCAACAGTTACAGGTAATATATAGACATGATATCACCTACATATGAACATAACAAAATAAATATTGTTAATAACAAAATTAAGCTTTAAATTATTTTCTTTATATTAAAGGAGACTATCCCTATGTTACTATTTTATCACAAACAAAATCTAAAATTGCAAAATATACTTCCCTTTAGAGCAGCTTTCCTACCTATAAAATTAGGAATGGAGTTACAAAAACATTGATTTACTAAATATAAAGCCCACAAGATACCAAGAGCTGACACTTCGATGATATGAGAAAGGTATGTATCTTCATCTGCTTTATGCATAAATCAAAATTATTGTCCAATATTCCAGAAATTAAGTAGATAAGACTTTTATCTAAATAGCCTCTATTTTTAGATAAGACTATACAATTACATCTTCTTTTCAGAACCCTTTAGAAAAGGACAATCTACATTTTATCTAAGAAAAATTGTTGACCTATTGAAATATGTTTTAAAATTCTCTTAAGTGGAAACACATGTTGTTACTAAAAGTCCTTCAACAGTAATGATGGAAGCCCTAAGTACAAAGACAACAGACTGCAGTATTACAATTTTTGGTCATTTGCTCAGCTTGGACAAGAGTGTTACTGCACTCCACTAACCCCTCTCAGAGAAAAGTTGTGTCAAGACAGGCTCTGTCTGCTGGTGCCTGTTATGACTGCTTCATTTTCAAAACATTTATTTGTGGGGAACTTAATATAATCTTACAGTAGAGAACCTAACTTTTATTTTAATATAAACTGCATAAAAGAAGGCATACTACCTAGTATCTGGGCAGCAATAACATTGTTAGAAAATGTTATCTGACTTATTGGGAAGTTATCATTCCCAGATATAAACATATAATAATATTTACAACAATAATTCTATATCTTAAAAGTTGTAGTACCTTCCACAAATACTGTAATTTTTCCCAAAGCTCCTCTTTTCCATTGAGCTTATTCTCAGACTTCAAGTTTATGTAGTTTAAGTACATCTTGTTTAACGCAGAAACATCAATTTTGCCTTAATATAAAAAAGAAATAACAAATGTTTTAAAATAGCTTTTAAAAATTCTTTATATATTCAATAGCCACATGCATTTATATATTCATTAGCCACATGCATTTTTCATTGTACAGCTTAGAAATCCCTCAGAATAAAGGACTGTCATAAATAATCAATTCTAAATAAAGGAGTCTAATGCTACCAAGAATGTGAACAGAATGGACAACGAAAGGCAAAAGGAGGAGCTAATGTTTACCTAATTTAAAGCACTGAAGAAAAGGTTCCGTTAATTGAGCAATCACTGCATTTTGAAGTATATATTAAATAAAAATGAAATTGAAAAGGCAATATAATGTGGTGACTAAGAGCACATATCTTGAAGTCAAACAGTTCTGACAATTTCAGTTCTACCACTGTGATGATTAATTTTATGTGTCAGCTTGAATGGGCATGGGTTACCCAGGCTAAATACTGTTTCTGGGTGTGTCTGTGAGAGTGCTTCTGAATGAGATGAGTATATGAATTGGTGGACGCAGTTAGTAGACTGTCCTCTCCCAAGTGGTTGGCATCAATCTGCTGAAGTCTATAACAGAAAAAAGGCAGAGAAAGGAATAAGTAGCCCCTTTTTCTTGCCTCACTGCTTGGGCTGGGACAGCTCATCCATCTTCTGCCCTCGAACTGGGATTTACTTACACCATCAGTTCCCCTGGGTCCCAGGCCGTAGGACTCAGACTGAACTACACCACCAACTTCCCTGGGACTCCAGCTCACAGATGGCAGAGTGTGGCATTTTCAGCCTCTATAATTGCATGAGCCAATTCCTCATAATAAAGTTCCTTTTTATATATGTATATATTGGTTCTGCTTCTCTAGCAAACTCTGACTAATATAACCTAGAAAAATTATTTTAGGAAAATTACTTAGCCCCCCGCTTACTCCCCTTTTTTAAAAATTTGAGATAGAGTCTCATCACACTGCCCTGGCTGGAATATAGTGGCTATTCATAGGCACAATCATAACATACTACAGCCTCAAACTCCTAGGCTCAAGCCATCCTCCTGCCTCAACCTCCCCAAGTAGCCAAAACTACAGGTCCACACCACCATCTCTGGCCTAATTACTTAACCTTGTTAAGCCTTATTTTCCTCATCTGTAAATGGGAATAATAGCATCTACTCATAGGATGTTCTGGAGATAAAATGAGTTAATTATACAAAGCATTCAACAGAGGGTCTATCACAAGAATGCTAGTATCATTTATTATAATAAAGATTTATGTGACCATTAAACTAGTTATGAATACAATTTGCATTATTTGGTTCTCAGACATGTCTGCTTTTAATTATTTTACCATGGGATGTAAATGGCAGGGCAGCAATCAACACAAGCTCATCCGGGATTGCATGACTTGAAAGCTGTTTCTGCAGCTCTTTTAAGATGTCACCTTTTACTGAATCATCTTTGGACACTATGAAGAGAATTAATTTTTCCTGATTATACCATGTAACTGCACAAGACTCCACTTGATGGAGTTCTTCAGCAACCTGTAAGAGAGAGTACCCCAATTTGCCAATGAGAACATTTAAAAGCAAGTTTCCTAAATGTTCACATTTTATCTGAAATAAAAACAGTTTAATTAAATTTTGGAGTATACTAAAGAGTTTTTAAAAATTGTTACTATTACTTGCTCACAGGTTTCATGAAATTTTTCAACAAGAATAGGTCCTAAAGTAAAATGAGCCAATTTTTTTTAAAGTATAAAAATATCCATTTTATCAATGAAGAATAACCATCTCTTTATGTTGGGAATAAGGGACACACTAAATTAAATTATCCGCACCTTTTACTATAAATCATCACTAATACAAAAATCTTAAGTGTAAATTATAGAGAACCCTAGTGGCAGATGCTTCTAGTACCTACGTATATTAACAAATATTTAATATTAAAATAGCCTACCTGTTGCACAAGTTCAATGTTAAGGCGTTTGCCGTGACGCTTGATCTGACTGTCCTTTCGTCCCAAGAAAAATATCTCTCCATCTTTCACCGTCACAAAATCTCCTGTGGCTCGCATTGTACCGAGTGGCACTGTCACTTCATCGTCAAGAAAACACACTCTGTTTCTGCCACCTTCCCAAGATATAAACACTAATGTCATAAAAATTCATGGAAAATAATATTAAAAACCATCAAATCAAGAACATCTCCAAAAGTTCGGTTACTAAGTTTCAAAACTTATATTAAAAAGGGGGCCCATTTTTAAATGTTATCTGATAAAATTAGACACAGTAACCTCAGTAAATGAGCAAACGGATGAAATAAAATTTGCTTCTAAAAAGATATCGAACTTTTTTCTGGGTGTGGTGGTTAACACCTGTAAATCCCAGCACTTTGGCAGGCCAAGGCGAGAGAACGGCCTGAGCATAGGGGTTTGAGACCAACCTGGACAACTTGGTGAGATCCTGTCTCTATAATAAACCAAAACATTAGCTGGGCATGGTTGCACGCCCATGGTTCCAGATACTTAGAAGGCTAAGGCAGAAGAATTGCCTGAGCTCAGCAGGTTGAGGCTGTGGTGGTCATGAGCATGGCACTACACTCTAGCCTGGGTGACGAGTGAGACTCTGACTCAAAAAAATAAAATTAAATAAATAAAAAATAAAGATATAGAACTTTTTAAGTTCTTAGACTACTGATTAAATATAATTTGGCTATAAATATAAAAGTCCAAGTTACAGTTTCTAAATTACTTTTGTTAGAGTATTAGACACTATTATCTGAAATAACTATGGTAACTTTGTCAAAACTTTGTTTTCTGACTATGAGAATTAGATTTAAAATTATCATCACTGAAAAGCATACTAGACATAAGAAAAACAGAAAAGAAAACATTAACACATCAGATTTTTTCTTGAAAAAAATATTATTCCCAACCAACAAATATAAAACAACCTATGAATACTTGGCCACTGCCTTCTTGAACTGTTAAACCATCAGTATCTCGGACTTCAACTACTGTTCCAAGCAATGGACATCCCAGTTGTACAGGCAAGTCACATCTATGAAAAACAAGGCCCAAAGCAGATTGAAATTTTTTCATTTGAATAGGTTGTTTCTCAATATATTTAAATCACATAGTTCTGAATAAAGAAAAACATTTGTTATACTATAATTCAAAGATTAACAAGAGGAAAAGGTTAGGTGGAAAGGTTATCATACATGTTATTCATTACTGTTTAGTCACAAAAAGTTCTAGCAGGATCTTAGCACTTGTTATAATAAGAAAGGTACTGAATTCCCAACTTAAAATACTAAATAAAACAGTGTTTCTAAAATTATTATCCCAGTGCATATCAAAACCACTGTTAGTGTTAAAAGCCTGGAAATAGTCTCTCTCCTCTCTAGTATAAATAAAACTCTTACTTCAAAGTACAGTTAAGAAGCTTCTCTGGAATCCTATAAAAGGTCGCCCAACTTGATACTTCTGTGATACCATAAATATTAAATATTTGTGTCTTATTGCCTTCTTCTCTCCAACTCTTGAGGACAGTCAGTGGTGGAAATGCTTCTCCACCAAGGACTAACACCCGAAGAGACGTGCTGACAGATAAAATGGTTGACTTGATAAGCTGAGATCCAAATCTTCTAAGCAATGTTGGTGTGGCCTGCAGATACATTTAAAATAAATCATTATTTTTCCCTCAGTTCTTTAAAAAGGCAAACACACTGTAATTATCAGTTCCAAGCTTAACATTTAAAGTTCACATAGAAATTAAGGCTGTGTTTATCAAACGGCAAATCACATTTGGAAGACTACTGACATGGCATTATCTTCTTAATGTGGGTATCAGTTATGTTTTAGCAAAAAAGCAAAACAGTCATGTTTTATTATATAGTTTACACAAAAGGTTTATAGATAAAAAGGGAAAAAATCTATAAAAATCAATTTACATTTCCTTTCCCATTAGCTCAGTATAGAAAGTATAAAAAAGGCTTTAAAAATGCCCCTCAGCAGCCGGGCTCTGTGGCTCAGCCTGTCATCCCAGCACTTTGGGACCCCGCGAGTTTGAGACCAGGCCGGGCAACCTGGCGAGACCTCGTCTCTACAATAAACTCAAGAAATTAGCTGGGTGTGGTAGCATGTGCCTATATTTCCGGCTACTTGGAAGGCTGAGGTGGAAGGGTCATTGGAGCCCAGCAGGTAGATACTGTAGTGGCCATGAGAGTGCCACTGCACTCCAGCCTGGACGACTAAGTGAGATTCCAACTAAAAAAATAAAATAAAATAAAAATGCCCCTGAGCAAAACAATATGAATAATAAAGATTTTTTCTTTTTTTTTTTTTTGGGTCAGAGTCTCACTCTGTCGCCCAGGTTGGAGTGCAGTGGCACGCTCATAGCCACCACAGCCTCAACCTGCTGGGATCAGGTGATCCTTCTGCCTCAGTCTTCCAAGTAGCTGGAACTACAGGAGTGAGCCACCACATCCAGCTAATTTTTCTTGATTTACAAGGTCTCATCAAGTTGCCCAGACTGGTCTTGAACCCCTGGGCTCAGGCAATCCTCTCGCCAATGCCTCTCAAAGTGCTGGGACTGCAGGTGTGAGCCACCATGCGCAGGTAAATAAAGATTTTTAACAAAAGCTTTACTGAGGTATAACTGTTACATAACAAACTATTTTAAGTGTATAATTTAATATGTTTTGATATATGTATGTACCAATGAGACCATCACCACAATTCACATAATTAACACACCTGTCCTAGTCTATTTAGTTGGATCACTATAGCAAAAATACCACAGACTGGGAAATTTATTAGGAACAGAAATTTACTGCTCACAGTTCTTGAGGCTGGGAAGTCTAAGATCAAGGCAACGGCAGTTTCAGTGTCCAGTGAGGCTCTGTCTGCTTCACAGATGGCACTACTTGCTGTGTTTCACATGGCAGAGGGGACATACAAGCAGCCTCAGGCCTATTTTAAAATTTCATCATCCCATTCATGAAGACCCCATACTCATGACCTAGTGACCTCCTAAACACCCCACATTCTAATACCAACACACAGGGGATTAGATTTCAGCATATGAATTCCAGATAGACACACACATTCAGACAACAGCAATGTCCATCACTCCTAAAATTATCTGTACCCTTGGAATTCCTCCCTTCAACTGGACCCCTTTTGCAGACAGCCAATACTTTATTTTCTGCAACTATAGATCAGTTGGTATGTTGTATGAGTCTACTTATATATATTATCTAATGATATATAAGTATGAATAGAAATTATGCTGATATATTCATAAGTAGCAACCTAAGATTTTACCCTAATTAAAATTTATAGGCAAATTTCAATTGTCTTGGCTTAATTTCTGGTGTTAAGGATAATTCAACTTTGAACTCAACAAATAAATGGCATCTGTGAATATTCAGCAAGATAAAACATGAAAATACTTTTCAAACATCATAAACTGAAATGATAAATTCAGAGGCAAAATACAAGTCAATATCTTCTGCTACTGAATCATTCTAGACATACAGAAACAGTACTTAGGAAATAATTTTTTAAATTGGGAATGCTAAGATTTCCTCCAAATTTTGTAAGAAAAAAACTCATGAAAATGGGAAACACTATTATCCTCATATGTTCCTAGCTAGCAACCTAAGATTTTACTATGATGAAAATGTTTTACTTGACTAGTCATGGTAGTTCACACCTATAATCTCAGCACTTTGAGAGACAGAGGCAAAAGGATTGCCTAAGCCCACAGGTTGAAGAACAGCCCAGACAACTTGGCAAGACCCCATCTCTACAATCAATCACGCACACACAAAAATTCGCTGGGTCTGGTAGCATGCACCTGTAGTTCCGGCTACTTTTAAGGCTGAGGCAGAAGGATCGCCTGAGCCTAGCAGGTATATGCCAGGGTGGCTGTGAGTGTGACACTGCACTCCAGCCAGGGCAACGGAGACTCTAACCCAAAAAAAATTTTAAAAAAGCATCAAGCTAAAAAATCAAAAAAGAAAAGCTTCAAGCTTAAATAATATAACTTTGCTACCCAGAATATGTAAATATAAAATTTCCAGATACATTCTAGGCTTATAATAAAAATCAACCCTTTCTTTCCCAAGAAACTCCTTACTCCTGAAACAAATAAAAGAGGCCTTTAATTTCCTCAAAAGCTTTGTCTATTTCACTTTGGGGCCCTGCCCCCTGACACTAATTCAAGATATTCTGTTCTTCTCAATTTTCACCACTTTAGTAGTATGTGTTCAAGCGCTTTTAAGATCCTTGCTTCATGTTCAGAACCAACTAGGTCTGCATAAGGATATATATTTTTAAAATTTCATTTTATTATAGGAATTTGGAGTATGAGTGAATATTAACAACATAAGTAGGCTGCATGAAAGTGAAGTTTGAGCTTCTAAACCAGCCCTCACTCTTGCTGGTAATAACCCAAGTATCTTTGTGTCGTCACTTGGCCCCTGCCCTCTTCCCTCCTTCTTCCCTAATAGTGCCCAGGTATATGTTAAAGTATAAAAGTATATACCAAAGTGGCCAGGCTCGGTGGCTCAGCCTGTAATCCTACGCCTTTGGGAGGCTGAGGTGAGTGGATTGCCTGAGCCCGCGGGCTCGAGACCCGCCTGGGCAGACAAGACCTCATCTCTACAATAAATCAAAAATTAGCCGGGCGTGGTAGCACGCGCCTGTAATTCCAGCTACGTGGAAGGCTGAGGCGGAAAGATCACTGGAGCCCAGCAGGTCAAGGCTGCGGTGGCCGGGAGCGGCCACTGCACCCCAGTCTGGGCGACAGTGAGACTCCAACTCAAAAAAAAAAAGTATATACCAAAGCAAAAATCTTTGATGACTTATATATCATTTGATAAGAAATTTGACTTGGGAGAGAAAAGATGAACCCTGACAACAAAGCTGAAACTCACTATGAAAAAAGACATGACTCATACAAAGGAAAGGATAGCAGTCAGTTTCTATACTTCTCTTACTTTCTCAAACTAAGTCAGCAGGGCATGGTGGCTCAGGGCCTGTAATCCCAGCACTTTGGGAGGCTGAGGTGAGAGGACTGCCTGAGCTCATGGATTCAAGACCAAACTGGGCAACACAGCGAGACCTCGTCTCTACAATAAACTAAAAAATAAAATTAGCAGGGCGTGGTGGCACATGCCTATGGTTCCAGCTACTTAGAAGGCTGAGGTAGAAGGATCGCCTGAGCCCAGCAGGTTGAGGCTGCTGTGGCTGTGAACATGCCACTGCACTCCAGCCTGGACAACAGAGTGAGACTCTGACTCAAACAACAATAACAACAACAACAACAACAAAGTCAAAAGTGATCTGCTGATCATATTTCAAATAAGTTTTGTGAGTTAAATAAAATCTCCATGAAACATGCAAAGCTTGCTGGGAATAGAGTAAGTTAATATCAGTTTCTCAGAAAAATCTGACCCCAGGAAGGTCCAAAACAACTGCTGGTTGGGCTCGGTGGCTCAGCCTATAATCCCATGCTTTGGGAGGCCAAGGTGAGTGGATTGCCTGAGCCGGCAGGTTCAAGACCCGCCCGGACAACTTGGCGAGACCTCATCTCTACAGTAAATCAAAAAATTAGCCGGGCTCGGTAGCTCAGCCTGTAATCCTGCGCCTTTGGGAGGCTGAGGTGAGTG